GAGGGAGGAGAGAGGGGAGAGGGGAGAGGAGGAGGAGGGGGAGGAGGAGGGGGAGGAGATGATGATGATGATGATACTGATGGGACAGTTATCCAACTTTTGTAAGAGTACTTTGCAGAATCCTAAAACAGGAGCTATATAATATTTTGCTTAAATATTTTTTGCTTACTTTTAGTTAAGGTTATATTCATTGTCAACCAATAACTAAAGAGTATTTTTGCCCCATTACCACTTGACTTTCATACTGGAATCAAGGGCATGGATTTCAGATCATGCCTCCATACATTCCAGGATAATTATCTCAACTATATTATCTGGCACTGATGCCAAATATCTAGTTGGTGCTAAAGGCAGCTGTGCGAAGCATACAAAAGCTACTTTTAAAACATAAAAGCTGGTTCTAGACTTACTCTCCATTTTGAAAGGCCATCATTAAGATCACAAACCTAGATTTCAATAATGGAACAGAAAACTCACTTGAAAAATGTATATTCATTTATTCATCATTAAATTCTCCCAGCTGTCCCAGCATGCTTACCTTTTTACGTACTCCTTCTTGGGTGCTAGACAGTTTGAGCAAAACAGGAGGAAGGAATTTAGATATAATATTCTGTAACTGTTCATCTGTTTCAGCATGGCCAAGTCGTAAAAAGACCCGTTCAAGCTGATCTATAATATAAAAAGAAAAAAAGAGAGAGAGAACTTAGCAAACCAAACACAACCAAGACCAATTATTTTTATAGCTTATTCCTTTTTTCTGTACTGCAATCCTTCAGTCAGAACTTTAACCATAGCTAGCCCTGTACAGATGACTTTGACACAGCTACAAAACACCACCAAAAAGGTTAATTGTACTATCCTGATCCATGCTTTAGAATGGGGGAAAACAAAACCAAGAATAACAGAATTTTCTCCCACATGCAATGTTATTCAGTTTTTCTAAAGGAACTGGATACTGGAAAAGATTCAGGATTTCTGAAGGCATTTTCTGGAACTACTGTAGTACAGCAAGGCAGCAAAACTTTAATCAGATACCATCAGATATTAGGGAAAATGTATCTATCCTGGTGAAATCATCTTACTGATGAAGTTTCTCCAAAGACAGAATCACTGCACATTACTGTGTTAGGGTTACCTAGTTAGAAACACAGCTAAGTTTCCCCAAGAAAGCCACTGTGAGACACACATGTTAAATGACACCATGGGAATGCTCTCAGCAAAACCCAGACTGTGATAAACTACAGACCAGGCAACTTCTTCAACCAGTACACTGCAGGGGCAAGAGGGAAGGTGGGGGTAAATGGGAGCATACGCAAACAACTAGATATTTGATTTTAAGGAATTACTGTTAAAATTGTTTTAGGTACTATAATGGTATTGTGGTTATGTTTGTTTTTTAAAGACCCCTACAAAAATTATCAATGGCAATTAGGGAGCTTTATAAAGAGCTAAAAATGTTCTATATTTAGATCTGGGTGATGATTACAGAGATAAATACATTTATAAAAATTTATCAAACTCTACATGTTCATACCTTCTACTGTACCTACTATACTTCAATTTAAAATATATATTTAAAGATGTCATTTTTTAAAGATAAAAAGATGGAAATATTTGCAGGTGAAATAATAGCTACTGGAATTTTCTTTAAATAATGAGGAGACACTCGGAAGGCGTTATATAACTAAAACCAAGATTGACCACTAACTGATAATTATTCAAGCTTCATGACAGATACTGAGAATTACTATTGTGTTTGCCAGAAATTTTCCACAATAATTTTCTAAAGGAAGATAGCTTAGATAGATATAGATCGCTCATTAGATCAATCAATGACAGGGATACAGATAGGTACATGGATAGACAGATCAACAGATTGATTGATCAATCCTGTGTAGCAAGAAGCACACCCAACATCCAAAATTGATCTTGTTTTTCAATACCATTCTCCAGTAAAAGGAACCAAGTTCCCTGGAAAAATGGCTGAGTCTAGGACTTGGGGCCAGGCAAAAACAAGACGCGCCTGAAGCATCTTGCAGTGCCTAAAAGGAAATGGAACATGGGGTCAGGCATGGTGGCTCAATCCCAACACTTTGAGAGACTAAAGAGGGAGGACCACTTGAGGCCAGGAGTTTAAGACCAGCCTGGTCAACATAGAGACACCTCATCTCTACAAAAAAAAAAAAAAAAAAAAAAAAAAAAGAAATGGAACAAGTCAAAAGGATACAGGAATCAACCTGAAAGAACTCCTAATGGCCCAAGCCATGACAACAGAAGGAACAAAATAACTAACAGTACTGGATTATAAGCCAAAATATAAATCTACATGAGTCCATACAGTTGGAAATAATTATTGGATGATAAAAGAAACTGGGGGGAAGGAGGCAAATTTTTCTTACAGGAGAATTCAAAATAATATATGTGGCTATTTCCCCCTACAGGAGGTGGAGCTTAATTCCTGCCCACCCTCCTGCTTGAAGGTAGACTACATTTAGTAACTGCTTCCTTAGAATACAAAAAAGGGAAAATGTTAACTTCACAGTAAACTGCCAAATACTATCTTAGTCCAGTGAAGAAGGTTAACCTCGTGATGTCATGCAGATATCGTGTGTCCCTGAAATGATGTGACAAGAAAGGCATTTTACCTCTCTGGTATTCATCACAAAAACCCATAACCCAAATCAAATGATAAGTAAAACAACAGAAAAACCCAAACTGGGGGGCATGCCATAAGACACCTGGCCAGTACTCCTCAACACTTTCAAGATCATGAAAAATAAGAAAAGACTAAAAAACTGTATCAGACCAGAGAAGGCTGGGAAACATTACTACTAAATGGTACCTTGCACAGGATCTTGGTGGGGGGAAAACGGACATTAATGGAAAAACTGGTAAAAGCCAAATAAAGTCTCAAATTTAGTTTAAAAAATTAATAAAAAAAAGAAAGAAGGGATGGGGGAAAGAAAGATAGGCACATTCTGAGACTACCATACGGTGATTCTATTTGATAAATGCTGAATGTTTCTGTAAAAGGAGTTCTCAGGAATGCTGAGTTCAACTCACAGTGTTTCTGGAAGTTACAGGTAAAGGAACAGCTCCTTAGTGCCTTACAGCTCTTAGGCCGCAGAAATTGCCTACGAATTTGAGCTACAGAAACTGGAAAGAACTGTTATGTGGACAAAGGCAGAAACTTAAACTCATAATAAATCGACCTAGAGAGTCTCTGCCACAGTTAAAGAAACCGGGGGGTGGGTGACGCAGGTGGAATATCTAATCCCTGTTACTTTTCATGCCATCATTTGGACGCTTCCTATGTATGCCCAGTATAGTACCTAACATCTTCCCTGCCTTACGAGACAGGCAAATGTAACATCGTAAGCACAATAAAATTATGAGAACGTGAGAATGGGAAGAAAAAACACCAACCCCCATGTGAGAGGGTCCCACTAAAACAGGCTGGGTACACCAGAGGAAGAGGTAAAGCCTTCTACCTGCTTTGAAGTGAATCAATTTAACACTGTTAGACCATCTTTACAGACCCATCTATACTTAAATAAAAGACAACCTTGTTCAAATTTCACAAATAGGAAGAAACATCAACATCTACAGATATAGCCAACTACTAAATTTTTCTTTCTTTTCCTTTTTTTTTTCCTAACAAGACAGAGTCTTGCTGTCACCCAGGCTAGTGTACAGTGGTACTATCATGGCTCACCGCAGCCTCAACCTTCTGGGCTCAAGTTATTCTCCTACTTCAGCCTCCCAAGTAGATGGGACTATAGGCATACACCAACACACCCAGCTGATGTCTTATTTTTTGTAGAGACAGTCTCACTGTGTTACCCAAGCTGGTCTTGAATCCCTGGACTCAAGCAATCCTCACACTTTGGCCTCCAAAAGTGCTGGGATTACAAGCATGAGCCATCACGCCCAGCCTAAGTTTTTTGAGTATAGTTAAACTTACCATTCCTTCCTTATAGGACTTCTGACTTTCTAGTTATGCTAGAAAAGCCATTTTCACTGCAAGATTTTTTAAAATATTGTATTGTGCAGAAAATAATTAACACAGACCTAAGACTGCTACCTGTAGAAAGGCTTGCTTTCTAGCTGAGCCTGGCCCTTGGCTGGCATCTGGAAACTTGGATTTCAGCAGGGTTTCCACCATTCCCAGAACTGCTAAGAGTGGTTCACTCTTAGTGTGCCTATCTGTACAAACAACGTTGTTTATGCTGAACAACAGCTTCCCTTCAGGGAGGAGTTTTGGTACATTTTAGGAAGAAGGTACCAACATGACCAGCCCCAAACAAAAACCTGAGGCATCAAGTCTCTGATGAACATCTCTGGTGGATACCATTTCACACCTTTTGTCACAACTCCCTTCTGGAGGAATCAAGCATGTCCTGTGTGACTCCACCAGAAGGTTCTTAGAAGCTTGCACTTGGTTTCATCCAGACTGCACGCACATGCCTTTTCCCTTTGGTGACCCTGCTATACTAAATCTTAGCTAAGAGTACAAATATATGCTGAGGTCTCTGAGTCCTACTAGACAATCACTGAAGCTAAGAGTGAACTTGGGAGACTCCTGCAAGGTATATTTATCTATGTTTTCTTCCAAGCACACTTATGATTTTGCTTTCTGCATTCAAGTCTTTGATCCATCTGGAATTATCTTTTGGTATACGGAGGGATGTAGGAAACAAGTCTTTTGTGGGTTTTTTAAATCTTCTTAACTGTGTAATAACACATACAGGAAATCATATAAAACATAAATGCACAATTTAATGAATTATTATAAACAATCTTATAACTAACACCCAAGTCAAGAAGAAAATTTATTTTGAAGCCTGCATAAAGATCTGTACTGGTCTCAAAACAGAACTGGGAAGGACTGAAAGACTGTATAACATAAAAAAGCACAGTAAGTTTTTGAGAACTCACTTAAGGTCACAGATGTAATTAACAGCAGAGTAAGAATAAGAATGGAGTCTTCTGACCTTTAGTCTAAAAATCCTTGCCTATACAACTGTCTCCAAAAATGGCCCTATTTTCTATCGGGTACCCATACTATCCATACTATACCCTATACAGGAAGTTTTGAGAGAATATCCGAAGTTTCACCAGAATGTGTCTCATTCAGGCGGCATTTATTACAAAAATGGAAAAATATACAATTTCAAAGGTCAGAAAACAGCACTAGAGAACTCACTACTATGATTAAGAAGCTAACTCCATATGTGATCAACTGCAATTCAACCTTTCTCCTCTTCCTCCCTGCTCATCAAAATTCTCTCCTCCTTCAAGCCCCAGCACCTTCCTAGTTTCACAGTGGAGCACTCATTCTCTTATCTAGGCCACTCATTCAAGTAACTACTGAAACTCTACCATGTGCCAGAGTTTGGTGGTCATGGGTATAAAGAGTGAAGAGGAAAGACGTCATGGGTATAAAGAGTGAAGAGGGGGCCAGGCACAGTGGCTCACGCCTGTAATCCCAGCACTTTGGGAGGCCAAGGTGGGTGAATCACCTGAGGTCAGGAGTTCAAGACCAGCCTGACCGACATGGTGAAACCTGTCTTTACTAAAAAAATTAGCTGGGCATGGTGGTGCATGCCTGCAGTCCCAGCTACTTGGGTGACTAAGGCAGGAGAATTGCTTGAATCCGAGAGGCAGAA